GAACCGCACATAAAAGCAGTCAGTCCCTTTGCCTATGGGGGGCCTGGGGTTGCTTCTTGGGGTGCATGGGTCCTTTCAAATTCGTGTTTCCATTTTCTTTGGACAAACCCCCAGAGGTGGAACCACCGGGTCCTCGGGCAGCCCCAGGTGTAACTTCCTGGGGAGTCTCCACGCTGCTCCCCGGGGCGGCGGCGCCCACACTCCCGCCCACAGGGCACCGGGCCCCCTGCCAGCCCTTGTTTGCTGACTTGTTGGTGACAGCCAGCCCGGCAGGCGTGAGGGGGCCTCGCGTGTGGCTTTGATGTTAGAAACGGGGCAGAAGCGCGCTGACCAGGCCGGCCAGTCCGGTCGGGGAAACGCAGATTCAACCGGGAGGGTCAGGAGGACTAGGATGACGCGCTGAGGGGCGCCCCCGGCCCCCGCGGCGGCGCATCTCCACGGCCAGGGGCTTAAAGGAGCACAGGCACTGCCTCCCAGGCTGCGGCCAGGGCCGCAGGCCCCGGGAGAACCACCCCTCTCCTGCCTCTCCGTCTTCGGGACACTGCTGGTTTTCGCGCGGACGCCGCTGGCACGCCAGGCACCGCCACCGCTTCCGGCGCAGCCCAGGGCCTGTGCGTATCATCGCACTGCTGGGTGCCGGACCCCTCCGTCTGCCTGCACGCCCGCCCGACGAGCGGAGTTTCAGGGCAGGGACACGGGACGCCGCCGGCACACAAGTCCCCGCTGGTGGCTGCGAAATGCTGCAGCCCCTCTGGACACTGCTGCGCAGAGAATAACCAAGTAGCCAAGTTCACCATGCAGGGCACCGGCCGGCCAACAAGCACACGCCTAGGGCTTGGTCCCCCGAAAGGAAACGCATGCTCACACACCCTGCGTGTACGTGGCCGGTCACTGTGGCGCCGTTGGCACCGACAAAGAGCGGGTGCGACTCACACGTCCTTCGATGGCGGACGGTGGAACAGACTGGTCCACCCACACCCAGGACCACGGCCGGGCCTCGAGTGCAGGGCGCGGCGGGGAAACACGCGGCTCCGGCTGGCACCGCTCGCGGGGCTGAGCCCTGTGCCTGCGGACGACGGTGGCCGGGGGGGGGGCCCGGGGGGGCCCGGGGTTGGGGGCAGGGTGAGGGGCTCCGAGCCGGGGGGGCCCAGCAGGTCCATGGAGCTCCCCGGGGTGCGGCCACACTGCGGTGCCCCGACACGTGCGCGTGGGGGCCATGGCGTCTGTGGGCGGCGCAGTGTCCCCTGGTCGCGACGTCAGGCTGCAGGGCGCACGGGCGCTTCTCCTGGCCTTCCTGGCTCTTCTTTGTGCAGAAGTGAGAAACCAGTGCCAGACGCGCCCGGAGCTGTCTGTCCGAAGTGGGAGGCAGCCCTGCTCTGCGCGGCCGCGCTCTGGGCCGGCCCACGGGGACGCCTCCGGCGCCTGCCTTCCCGGGGGCAGCAGAGGACGGGGCACCAGCAGGAGGACAGGACGGGCTGTCCCCACTGGGGCCCCGTGTGACGTCCCCCACCCGCCGCCCACAGGCTCTGCTCACACTGCCTGCCACCTGCCCACCCAGTGACACTCCAGGCCCCCAGCTCCCCCGACAACCCGCTCGGCCCTCCGTGGGCTGGAGCCCAGGGCGCAGCCCGCTGCTGGCCGGCTCCAGCTCCCAGGGCCACCGCGCTCCGCGGACTCGGCCCCTTCCCCGCCTCCCACGTGTGCAGCCCGAGCTCTGGCCCCAGCTCACCTGCCCTCTGACCTGACCCTGGGGCCGCCCTGGGGACCCAGGACAGACTCACCGCAGGCCCCTGCATAGTACCATCTGCACCAGGGCGCTGGCAGCACCCCCCCACCCCGCTCCCTGGCGAGTGCTGGTGGACAGACGGCTCACCTGAGAGGAGACCTGCCCACTGTGGCCCGGCCCTCCCCCAGGACGCTGACGCCACGGCCCCGGGGGGCCCCGCCTGCCGCCCACAGCCTCGTGCGCAGCCTTTAGCCCGGAGCCCGGGGTCCCTCCCTGGCCTCTGCGCCCCACACGCCCTCCTGCCCTTGGACCCCACCGGGGCGGCCCCTCAGCCAAGGCTCCAGCCCCGCCCCACGGCCGTGGCCGGGCCTGCTGACCGACAGCAGCCGCGGTTGCCGGCCTCTAGCTCTGGTCAGTGCAGGCTGGTCAGCGGGAAGGGCCACGGCGGCACAGGCTCTGCCCGCCTGCGGCGGCCGCCGCCGCCCAGCCCCTCAGTCCACCGCTGCAGGGAAGTTTCAAGGCCAGCGAACCACGGAAAATCACTGCACAGGCACGGAGTTTCGCTTTGGGGACTTGAACGTGCTCTGCGGACACGCGTGGGGCAGGCGGTACGACGACGTGCCACCCCCACTGCCCCAGAGCTGCTCGCTCGGCAGCAGCCGACAGCGGACCCCTCCCCCGGGCAAGTCCTCGGGACAGAGGGTTGAGAGACACAGCAGGACAGGAGCGCAGACGGGGGCTTGTCCCTCCGCTTCCTCGACGCTCCACTGGCTGATCTGCGTGCGCGTGCTGACCGGGGACGGACCCCGCAGCCTCGCGCGTGGGGGCGCCGCGCCGGCCCTCGGAGAGCCCGGCCAGGGCCACAAGCAGCAGCTCTGGGGGGTGTGAGCTCCCCGGGCGCCCTGGCGCCAAGTCTCCCTCTGGCCACCACGGGCGGGCGGGGGGGTGCCCGGCAGGGGGGCCAGGCTGCTGTGGGCCAGGGTCTCCGAGGCTGCGTCCAGGAGGGTCCCGGGAGGCAGGTGGGGCTGGTGACCTGAACCTGGTCTGGCTCCGGAAGGGGGTCTGCAGGCGGCACGTGGAGTTGGCACAAACCCCACACGCACAGAGCGGGGGGCCCAGTGACGGTCTCACTTATGCAGAAGGGCCTCCGCTCAGTTCCTGGGACGGGGCCACGGGGCAGCAGGGCGGGGCGGCTCCCCCACCTCCTTCCTGGCCCCGTCTCCGCTCCCTCTGCAGGAGGACAGCACCCCCACCATCACCCCTGGAACCTCTGCGACTCTGGCCAAGGGGCACGCCGTTGGGGGGGCTCCCAACTTCCCACACTGCAACTCGGCATCTTCCTGAACCCAGGCGACCGGGGACACTGCCGTCAGAAGGCCATGACCCGGGAGGCCTGTGGAGGGCCCTGTCCCCTGAGGTGCAGGCCCCCGCGGCACCAGGAAGATGGGCGGAGGCCTCTGGCAGCGGTTGTGGGACCCGGTCAGGCAGGGCCCCGGGGCACCAAGCCGTGGCCCCTGTAGTCAGGCCAGCGCGCAGCCGTCCTGGAGAATGAAACCGAGGAGCGCGCGCCCAGCGAGGCGGTGCACTGGGACGGGCGCGGTCTGACGAGACACGCCACAGGGACGGGCACGGCCCCGGCCCACACGGGGGCTGCTGGCCGGGTGACCCAGGCTGGTGCTCAGGGACCACCCACGAGGGCCCGTCTGCCCCGCAGCCCTGCTCGCAGGTGGCCCCCCCCGGTGGTGCACGCTGTCCCCGGGCGCCCAGGTCTTCACAGGGCAGACACGTGTCCGTCCCCCCCAGGACACTCCTGACTGCGCCCCCCGCCCCCCGCTGCACACCGTGGGGGCCTCTCCTCCACTTCGCATCTGGCCTGGGAGCATCTTTGTTTGTTAAAAGGATGCTGATGAAGGAATTCCCACCAGGCTGTGCCCACCAGGCCGTGCCCCTGGAGCGTGGCCACTGGAACGGGTAGGAGGGCCGGCGACCACCGTGACCGAGGAGGGGACAGGGCAGACACCACTGCACCTGAGGGGCGCAGGGCACGGGGCTGCACGGCCCAAGGGAAGGGCACACAGAGACCAGCCTCAGCAGCAACGTCACGCCAATGCCGAGAGCTTAAATACGATTTATTGCAAACCCACGCTGCAGGGCGGCGTCCTCGCCTCGCCGCGCCGGCGCTCAGGGGCCCGTCTGCTGCAGCCGCGTCTGCAGAGAGAAAACAGGCAGGAGCAGCAGCTCCAGGGCAGCAAAGGACAGAGGCTGCCCGCCAGATCACTCGCCACCACCAGCCGCGTGCGACCCGACCCTGCCCAGGCGCGGCCACAGCCAGAAAGGCAGGAAGAGACATGACGCCCAAAATAAAATCCAGGCAGAGGAAGACGGCCCAGCACAGAGTCCCAGGCTCCAGGCTCCCGAACTGCTGAGATGCAGGTGCCACAGCCCACGCGGTCACTCCCGAGACCCCCTCCCAGTGGGGCAGGGTGGGACAAAGGGACAAGGGGACGGATGCATCGAGAGCGGCTGTCACGCAGGCGGCACAAACGAGAAGCCCGGGGAGGGTCCCGGCAGGCGCAGGACCAGGACCAGCCGAGTGACGGCTGCGGGCGGGCCTGGCCCGGTGGTGCGCCCACAGCCGGCTGGTGACCACGCTCCCGCGGTGGCATCACAGGACCCGGAGGCTCCCGGGGACCCGGGGCCACTCCCCACGCAGAAGCTACAGCGGCGAACAAGTTCTCCCCAGCAGGCCACTGAGGTGGAAGTCTCCGGAAGGACCGCCTCCCGGCGGGCTCCCTGGCCCCCTGGTTCCAGTGTGTGGAGGTCTCGTCTTGGCGATGGGCTCGGTCCAGCGGTGCCGGGAGCAGAGCTGCTGACACATGTGGTCCCGAGGGACCGGCTCGGCACACGCGGACAAGAACGGAGCTCCGTGAAACGACAGTGCTGGCTCAGGCGGGACAAGACAGCCTGGTCAGACGTCAGAAGTCCTGTTGTGCGGGCGGCCGCAGGACTTGCTGCCAACAGCCAGAACCAGAGATCAGGACCACGGCCTGGCCCTGAGGCAGAGGACCCCACAAGGTGCGAGCGGGCTCCATGGGGCTCCGGCGACTGTGCCCAGCAAGGGAGGCTGAGTGTCCCCAAACGGCTTGGCTGCCCCCACCGCCCGCTGCCCCCACTGCCTGCCGCCCCCCGCACAGGATCAGCAAGCAGAGCTACAGGACAGCGCGGCGGGCAGGGGCGGGGTGCCGGCGGCGGGCCAGCGCTGCCCGCAGGGAACTCCCCTGCTGGCCGGCACCCCGCCACGGCGCAGCCCCGCCCTGCTCTGGAACAGTCTGGAAGTGCAGGGCGGGGCGGGGCTGAGGCCGGCGGCAAGGACACTAGAACTGCACGGCGCCCGGGGAGATGTTGAACATGGCCGGGTCGAATCTCTGGCCTCGGAAGGGAGAGCCTTCTGCGTCCCACCCCTTCTTCAGCATCTCATGGACTTTCTACAACAGAAAACAGACAGAGATTAACCGCAGCCACCGGGCCAGCAGGCCCCAAGCTGCCGCCGCTCCGCTGCCACCTCCAGAGCACCCGCTGGGCTGGGCGCCCCCCACGCGGCCGTGCCCCCCGGCGCGTCCCCCACGTGCGGCCGCCCGCAGTGCCGCCTGGCCCTCCGGCAGCTGCTGCTCCCCGGCCACCGGGCATCTGTTCCAACTCCAGGGGCCGAGGGCTGTGGCCCCGGGACAGACTGAGGTGCAGGGGGTCCCTGCCTCCTTTTCCAAAGGGGGAAGCTGGTGGCATCAAGGGCCGCACCCTCAGACAATCCGGGGCAACCTTGGCTGTGACTCGGCCTGCCCCGGAGGCCCCGTGTCCAGGGGCGGCAGCAGGCAGGCAGTGTGGCTGGGGATAGGGGACAGAGGACCCGGGATGGGGGACCCGAGGGGGCGCCGCCCTGTGAACGCAGTGGGCTGGGGCCGCCTCCCCTCACTTGTGACCACAAGAAGCAAAGCAGCGTCGGGGCCACAGATGTCGCAGCCACGCACCACGTGGAGGGGTCAGCAGGCACCGCCGCAGCAGAGACGGGCCAGCCCCGCCCTCCGCGCCCCGCTGCCCATGGGGGCGGGGTCCTCCGGCCCCCCTGCACCCCGCTCCTCTGGCTCCTGCCGCCGCCGGGCCTCCCACAGGCCCTGTACCACCTGAGATGCCGCGGCCCCGAGACGCCCGCCCTTCGCCGTCTCCAGCGAGGCCCCTGGATTGTGGGTGGGCTGGGCAAGGGGCTGCCCTGGCCCCTGCCTCACGCATGGCAGCCCCGGCTCCCGCATGGCCCCTCAGGGCCACACGCAGCGCGTCTCCAGGGCCCCTTCCCAGCTCACCTTCCCGCCCGGCCCGAGGGGCCGGCTGCCCCTGGGCCCATCACTGGGGACCCTGCTGCTCCCCTTGTGGCCTCGTGACTCAGCGCCTGCCCCCTCCTGGGCGGGGACACCAGTGCCCCACAGCGGCACGAGGCCTGTCCCACGGGGCCAGTGACAGGCAGCTCTCTGTCCAGTGGCCACGGGGTGCTGGGGTGAGGACCGCTGTCCAGCATGAGACAAGCACAGCGGTGACAGCCAGCGACCACTGCCCACAGACACGGCCGGCTGATGCCGGGACCCTCCCTGACGGGCAGCCTCAGCCCCGGCCCCGAGCCGTCAGCCCGGATGAGGCCGGTCAGATCCAGACACTCGGAGGGAGAACAGGCCGCTGGCTCACGGCACGGCCCCGCCTCTGTTGCCGAGCTGCGGGGGGGCCCTCCGCACATCCTGGGAGCTTGTGCTTCCTCCCACTGGGCGGACAGATGGACAGACACACCCGCAGGCCCACGCCGTGGGCCCCGCGCACTCCCAGAAGCAGCCAGGTCCCCAGACCCCACAGGACCCCAAGGACGTGAACGGGGTTGAGGGAGGGTCCGGGTTCGACGTGAGGAAAAAGCAGCATCCAGCAGCCCGCGCCGTGCCCGCCACGCTGCGGCCAGCTCCCCCGTTGCTCCCGCGGGACCCCGGCAGCCACAGTGAACCCGAGGAAGCAGCCCTTCCTCTCCTGAACCCGTGCTTGGGGCCATTAAAGCGAAGAAGGGATGTACAGACATCCCTGATCCATGATCTCCTGTTCTGCGGTTTGTCACCCGCGGTCGACCGCGGTCTGAAAACATGAAGTGGGAAAGCCCACAAATAACCTGCACGTTTGAAACCGCGCGCGGTTCCGCGGAGCGTGAGGAAACCTCTGGAGGTCCTGCTCCGCTCCGCCCGGACGGGGCTCGTCCCTCCGTCCAGCGTCCCCGCGCCGTGGGCGGTGCTGCGCGTTAACGACTCAGCAGCCGTCTCGGTGTCAGGCCGACGGTGACAGTGCCACCGCGCTCCTGTCCAGGTCGCCCAGACGGCACTTCCCGACGCCCCCAAGTGACGGGCGGTGAGGCTGGCTCTGGGAGGGGCCGGCGCGGAGCCGGGAAGTGCGCCCTTGGCGGAGGGAGCCCGTGGGGGAGAAGACCGCACGGGAGGGTCTGCGCTTCCCCTGGGCCCCGGCACCCACCAGGGGCCCTGGGACGCGTCCCCCGTGGGTGTGGGGGTGACTGTGCTCGTCTACTCCGTCCTTCCCTCGGCCGCCCGGGCTCTGTGCCAACTTCCTGCTGCCGCCTCCCCAGAGCCTCAGGCCAGGCAGGCAGTTCAGGCCCCCGAGGACTGAGGGGGTGGGAAGGACTTCCTGCCACCGCCCCTCCCGCCCCCCCCAGAGCTGGGACACGCGCTGTGACTGGGTCTGTGTGGCTGGGCGCCTCCTGGCCCTGCCGCCTGCACACCCTTTCCGGGTGTGACACCGGTGCCCTATCCGAGGGGCGGCGACCAGGCCCCCCCCCCCCCCCCGCCACGCGCCCCGGTGCCCCGCCCCTGTCGCCCCGCCCCCACCGTACCAGCTCGTGGCTCTGCGGCTTCCCCTGCAGCTTCTGGTGATAGTCGAAGGTGAGCCGGTCCAGCACGGCGTGCTCCTCCTCGTCCACCGTGGCCATGGAGCGCTCCTTGTTGATCTGGTCGATGTCGATCGGCTCCTCGCCCTCCAGCACGGCGCTCCACCAGTACTCCCCCACCTTGTTCAGGCTCACCTGCGGGGCGGGGCGGGGCGGCTCGGGGCGGGCACGAGGGGACAGCCGCTGCGGGCTGTCTGGGGCCCCCCGGTCCTCACCGGGGGCACGGCTTCGGTGTCCCCGCTCACCCCCAGGCCACAGGAGCCAGCCCACTCTGGCCCGAAGGGGCACTCCCATGACCTGCGAGGCCCCCACCACCTACCCCGGGGCCCCAACAGCCACAGCCTCTCCGAGCAGCCGCAGAGGCTCGGCCCCGCTGGCCACCCCGCCCCATGGTGACCATTCCTGCTCCCGCCTGCTGGGACCGGGGCCCGCGTCCGGTCCATGGAAGCCTCCCTTGATGCCCGGCACCCTGGCCCTTTGTCCCTGGCCAGACCCCTCCAGCTCCCTGACCCGCCACCCAGATTCACAGCACAGCACGGAGGGACGGCTTGGGGACGGACACAAGAGGGCAGGGCGGGGGCAGCACCGTGGGAAGGAAAGCAGGACATGCAGGCTTGGGCCGAGGCTGGCACCGAGGGCACTGTCTCGGGGCCCCACAGGGCCAGGCGGGCCCCTCCTGCGCACTGTCCGCTCTGATGGGACGAGCGCCGCCCCGCAGCGGGGGCAGGGTGGGAGCTGGTGCTCAGGGAGGGGCACGGGGGCACAGCGGGCTGGGAGGCAACCACACTCAGCAGGCGCCGAGGGGACACTGCCAGGCTGAACGGCGCAGGTGTGGCACGAGAGCGCACGGGAAACGTTCTGCCGGAGGCTCGAGGACCCGGGTCTAAAGACAACTTCTCGGGTAAAGTTCCCTGACAGCGTGACGTCCCCAGACCTGGAACTGTTTTGCAGGGAAACCCCACAACGCTGGCAGGCGGGGTCCCCAGAACATCCTCACAGACACTCGGGCCCGAGGAGACACGTGAGCGCCTGGGGGTAGAGAGGACAGGTGATGGGGCGCGACCGGGGCCTGCACGGCGCAGGCCACTCCCACAGGAGGGTGTGGGCCCAAGGTCGGCCGGCCCGGCCTCTCAGGACTCACCGGGGCGGCCGTCACAGGCCGGCCCCTGGGGTTTGAAAGCCCTGTGGGCACAGAGACTGGAAGGCAGGACGGGGAGCGCGTGCTCCATCTGCGGCGAGCGCCACCTTCCTCCCGTCTCCTGGTGGCTTCGCCCCGTTCTCGTGACTCCAAGCTTCCGCTCTCCCCCTGGGCCCCGGGCCCCGGGGATGGCGCCGCGGATCGGGCCGCCCGAGGAGCGCAAGGGTCCGAGGAGCGCGCGCCGAGGGCCAGGGCCCGCCTCCAGTCCAGGACCAACGTCCCCGCGCTCGCCGACACACTGACGCAGCCGACCTGCCCGGCCCTCACCTCCCGGGCCTGGGCCGCCTCCCGCGGGCACACGCGGCCTCTCCAGAGAGCCTCTGGAAGACGCGCAGGCACAGTAAGTCAGCAAAGACAGGCAAGCGGCCGGGCCCAGGGCTGGCGGGAACGGGGACCTAATGGGAGGCAGCCCACGACCAACGGCCAAGGACATGTCAGCCGTTGCCCTGCTTTCGAGAACTGTGACGCGAAAGCGACCTGACCATGTCTTCCAAGGGCGCAGGGCACCGCACGCCAACAGCACGCGCGGGTCACAGACAGACACCGCCCAAGGGGAGCACACGGGACAGGTCGGCAAGCGCAGTGTGGCGGCCCTCCAGGCCCAAGCAACACGCACGGGCCAGCACCGCCTCCTGCAGCGCTGGCCGGGAGGCTGCGGCCCCACGTGGGGGCAAAGGGCAGCGGCACAGAGCGTGGGGGGCAAAGGGCAGCAGCGCGGCGCGCAGCGAGCGCAGCAGGGCGGCTCCGTAACCAGGCAGGAGCCTGCAGGCGAGAAGCCTCGCTGCATCCCCGTGCGTGGGAGGGGGCGAGGCGGGAGCTGTCATCGGTTTTAGCTGCCACCCCTGCCTGGTGGGCTGACACGGGTCCTCGGCTCAGAGGCAGGCGCGGGGGGGCGGGCGGGGGGGGCGGGGGGCCGTGACCAGGCGCTGTGAGGGCACAGGCCTCTGCAGCCGCCACCGCCGCGTCCCCACGGCCTGGGCTGTCCTGGAGCAGCCACTGCAGAGCTCTACGCACGGGGCTTTGACCCCGGCTCCCCCTCCACCTGGCGGCCGCACTTCCAGTCACAGCGTCACGTGACTTCGCTGCCTCCGGGGGTCCCAGGGGACAGGAGTGTGGCCACACGTCCCCCTCCCTGCCCCAACGTCACTTCACTCCTCCTGCATCTGCGTCTTCTCTGCTGTCTCAACCCTCCTTCTCCCTCCCCCGAGGACACGTGTCACTGGATGACCCAGGTGACTCCAGCTCGGGGCCCTCAGTGCGTCTGCAAACACCTGTCCCCGAAGCCCTACCGCGGGCCCAGGGCCCTGGTGCGGATGCTGGGGACGCGTCCCCTCCCGACTTGCTGGGGGCCTGGTACTGAGTGGGACGCCTGGGGAGCCACCCACCAGGGACAAGGGGACCAGGGGAAGGCCCGGCCAGGCTCCCGCGAGGACCCGAGCAGGCTGCCCTGCGCCGCCAGACGCTGAGGGAGCGGGTGCCGCTCCTCGTAACACACCACCCGGAACCCCACCCGGGGCTCTGCACGTCAAGGCAGCCTGCTCACTGGACCTCAGATCATCCAGGTGCGCGACCCCAAACGGCCCCAGTGAGGGACGAAAGTGGGGACGCACGCCCGGGGCCAGGCGCAGCGCCATACTCACCAGCACGCACTTGCCCGGCTCCAGGCTCCACAGAGAGCTCTCGGTGTTGACCTTGTGGGTGAACTTCCCCTCCATGAGGACCCGCTCCCCCTGGCCTTCCAGCACGGCCACCCGGATGGAGCTGCTGCTGAGGGCCACCGAGACCTGCGTGGAGAGGGGAGAAGTGTTTCTTGGGTGCAGGCGGGACCGGCCTCACCACGGTGGGCGGGGACAACAGAGCAAGATGCCAGGCATCCTCGGGCCACCAGGGTCCTGTGCGAGGAAATGTCGGCGACTGACCGAAACCTGACGCAGCCGGTGCGCATGCCCCTCCAGTAAGAGCGAGACCTGGGGACGCGGGGAAGGCTCTCTCTCCACAGCCCCAGCTGTCAGGGGGACCAATCCCACGGCGGGTGGGGGCCAGGTGACATGCCTCCCATCCTGCCATCTGGACACCCGCCAGAAGGGCCACACGCCGGCAGCCTCTGAGGCTCGGCCCCGCCTCCACCAGGACAGCAGGCCATGGGCTGGCTCCGCCCCCTTCCCTGGGTCCGATCTCGGGAGTCAGGTCACTGGGTCAGCAAGGGGAGAGCAAGGTCACAGGACTCCTGTCTCTCCCTGGGCCTTCGTGGCGACCCTCCCGCCCTTGTCCCTGCGAGTAGAGGGCTAACAGGAACCTTGGAAGGGAGCTTCCCAGGCACAGAAAACATCCGACCTGGAGTTCACACTGGTCAGTGCGCTGGCTCGCGGGCTCGACAGCCTCCAGCACACGCCCCCAGGGACCAACCCCGGCTGCCGCCCGCTTGGACAGACAGCCCTCCCAGCCGGCCACACAGGACAGTCCTCGTCCTGATGTCTGACGCAGAGCGTCAGGGGCATCGGACGGCAGGGACCCCAGCGGCTCCCGTCCCAGAGTCACCCCAGGAGCCACGGGGCGACCGGAGCGAAGCACAAAGAGAAGCGCGGAGCCCTGAGCGGTGCAGGGGGAGGAGGCCCCGGCCCCAGGCGGAGGCACTGTCACCAGCGGCCTGCTCTGGTGGGGGGGGTGGGCAGGGGGCACTTTACATAAAAACACCTAACAGGAGCTGAGGGTTGCATCGTCTGCGGAGCCAGCACCGCGCAGACAGACTTGGGTACAGAAAACAAAACCGCTGCAGCGCTAATGAGGAAGGAGGATTCTCTAAAGTGCTTCCTATTTATGTCTTCAGCGGGTCTGAGGAGATGTTGCATCTACAGAACCGGAATAAAATATGAAAATAGTGTTAGACAAAAAAAGAGCACTTAGAATTAAAATCCTGTGGCTAAAATAAAATTTTCAACAGACAGACGGGAAGATAAAGTCAGAGGAATGGGGTGGAGACAGGGCTGAGCCCACAGCGGGTACGAGACAGTTTCCAGAGCTTCAGAAACACACGCCCCCGGACTGAAGGGCCCGCCGAGGGCCGAGCAGACGAGTGGAAGGGGGTTACACAAACGCGTGACAGCTCACGGCCCTGACTTTTGAAAAAGGTCCTCAAAGCTCCGAAGAGGAGGAAATACACGCGTCCCCACCGAGCTGCATGGACAAGAGCTTGGAATCGGCGACCTGGGTGCACGCAGATGAGGAGCAAAGCCTCCCACCTCCTGGGGCGACTCTTCAGGTCAGACTCTCCAGAGCACCCACGCTGGGAACGAGGGGAGGTCCCAGCCACCCTGCGCTGAGGGGCTCGGCGCCCTGCCTGTGCATGGCCGTCCTGCGGAGGTTCCGGGGACGAGGCGAGCACAGAGGACGGTGCTGGGCAGACGGCATGAGGCACGAACGCCCAGGGGCAAGGGGAGCCCGTCCCGAGCTGGGGGGCAGCGGCAACCGGAGCCGACAACACCGGGCTGCGGGGGCACCAGCTGCTGAGAGAGGCCCTGAAAGCCCTCGTCACGGGAGAAACGCCCTCAGTGACCGGGGCGGCCGTCGCGTCCCCGTCCAGAGGTGCACCCGTCACTGAGCACTGGAGGCTACACCGTGTTACACGTCAACTGCATCGCCACAAAGCGGGACTAATCGGGGAAGCCCGAAGGGCTGAGATGGGGCGCCCGGAGTGGAGAGGCGCAGAGGTGGCTCGGGGAGACGGGCGGCACAGGGCGCGACCGGGCCGAGGGCGCGCCTTCCAGGAGGACCTTCGGGGAGAGCGGCGTCCAGGCGGCACAGCGCTGCCGGGGCCCAGGTAACTCGCAGGTTGGTTTTGACGAGAGAAAGTGAAAGGTAGCAAGAAACTCCAAGAAAACGAACTGAGCCAGAAGCTCCTGGCCGGGAGGATGTCGGAGTGAGCCCTGGAGGCAGGGCCCCAGAGAAGGAACAGGGCCCTGGAAAACGACCAACCTCCGCTTTCCCGAACTTCAGAAACTCGCCCACGGCTGCGGAAGCCAGGGCGCGTTCGCGCAGAAAACCTCGGCCAGAGCAGCAAGCTCCGCCACGTCTGACACCCCCTGGCCAGCCTGTCCCCTCAGCCAGCCCCGCGGCAGCCCCGCGCCGGGTGTGGCCTGGCAGCCACCAGAGGGCGCCTGCGGCAGGGAGCTCTGGAAGCTTCCCTCCAAATAGCTGTGGTCACCTGACCTGTGCGACAGTCCAGGCAGCCCCACCCGCCAGGCCGTCTGCAACCAGACTCAAGACTCAAGAAAGCCCTTCTGCAGGGTCTGGTTGGGGAGGCAGCGTCGGGGCCTGGGTGGGCGCGTGGTGAGCCGGTCGTGGTTGACGGCAGGCGCATGGCAACGCCTGCACCCCCGACATGCGCCGTGACGCCCGGGGTCGGGGCGCGGACAGAAAGCGGAGGCAGGAGAGCACTCGGGCTGCGAACCTTCTCTGCTTCCAAACAGGCCTTACGTATCCAAACAAGGCTTCCCGTGCAGAAAAGTACAGCTTGGTGGGCTTTTTCATCACCTTTCCTGCGAGGGAGCCTCCCCACAGGTGTCCAACGCACCTGCAGCTGCGTCGCCGTGCAGGACGTGCCCCAAGGCCAGGCGCTCTCTGGAAGATGCCCGTGGGCACCGAGGGCGGGCAGCAGGGCCGTGAACCCAGCAGCCGCAGGACCTCCCGCGAGCAAGGCCCACCCACGTGTCCGAGACGGGGAGCAAGAGCGGGAGGCGAACCCCCTGCCACGCAGGGCCATGCAGTCACGAGACAGACGGGCGGGGCCAGGCCCTGGCGTCCGCCCTCGGGGGAGCGCGACGCCCGCGGCACTCGGCCTCCGGTGCTGATGCCCGCGAGTGCAGGAGCGGCGGTCAGCAGCCAGGCCAGCAGGCGTCACGGCGGCCGTGGCTATGCTGAGGCAAGAGAGTGCACTGGATGAAGCAAAGGCCAAGGACAAAAGCCTTGTTCTGAGTTTTTCCTTCAGATTTACCAGCAAAACAACGGAAGACAGACGCCTGTAAACAGGAACACCAGCACCCCCGTCCTCTGTCCCCGTGGCACTCGAGAGGCAGGCCCCTCCCTGCAGTGACCCCTGGGGACGAAGGGGGAGAGGCGCTGAAGGTGGGGCGGGGCTGGGGGGTGAACATTCCGAGATGCAGCCACGCCCACCCCCAGCTGCTGCGCCCCCACCACTGCCACGCAGCACCTGGTAGGTGCAGGGACAAAAGCCAAAAATAAACACTGCTGAGAGGTCGCTGTGACAGGCCCCTCAGGGAACAGCTGCCGAGGAGCCGGTCCAAAGGGAACACGGCCGCTCGGGAAACCCTTAGGTCAGCAAACGCCAAGGGCTGCAAAGGAGCCCGCCCCAGCCTTCAGGGAGGCGCGGCAGAAACTCAGGTCACGGAGACGCGAGAGGCCGCGGCTCTTCAAAGGGAGGTCGCAGTGCGATGAGAAGGCCGCGGGGAAGGCCACGGCGGAGAGCGCGCCCCACCGGCCGAGACGAGGCAGGACGAGCGCCGGTCCGGTCGGGGGGTCACCGACACACCAGCACTGGGTACAGCGAGCCCGCCGCCGCGTCTCAACACACAGGCTCAGCCACACGTCCGGGGCACCATGGGCACCGGCGCCCCGGCGCCCCCTCCTGACAGCGCGGGCCAAGCGCAACTGACCACCCGCACCCCACACAGCACCTGTGACGTCCCGGCCAGAGCCCCAGGGGCCCCGACTCTGGGGCAGCCACCCAGCAGGGGCACGGCAAGGGTCCATCCCAGGGCGAGCAGCAGCCAGACTCCCTGGCGGAGGCGGCCACAGGTGACGCCCTCGGGACACACTGCGGGGGGGGCGGGGAGGACATGGCCGCCCCCCGGCCCTCAGTGCGCGCTGGGCTCTGCGTGCATGGGGGCACCGTGGCTGTGGCGGTGTGGATGGCGGCCGGGCCGTACAGAGCGGTCGGAGCACAGGCCCGGGCCCGGCAGCCAGCGCTTCCCACAGTCTCCTCCCCCCTGCACAAGGCAGCCCGGCCAAAAAACGACGTGGAAAGCAACAGCTGACCCACAGTAACCCTGGAAGGGGCTGGGCAAACCAGCCCGGCAGGAAGGCCAGCACCTCCCCATGGCTTCCAGGACAGGGGGCGTGGCCGTGGAGCCAGATCCGTGGGGACAAGCCCCGATGGCAGGGTTGGCACAGGAGGGCGGGAGGGAAGAGGGCCGCGCGGCTCCGGCCACTGCCGGCCCCAGGTGTCTGGTGCAGAGGACGGGGGGACACACAGGGCCCCAGCCTGACCAAGACGCCTGTGCGCGGAGTCAGCGAGCGCCGCAGCCGCCCAGGCGCCAGACCAGCAGCGGCTGGCACCACGTTACATGGCGGTCACTCCAGAACCATCCCCGCAGCTCAGCCTGCGTCTCCTGCACTCCAGGCCTGGCCCTGCACAGGGAGGAGCCATGCGTGACCTTGGATGCAGGCAGCCCCCTGGAGGGAACCCCTCACCCCGGCCCAGCCTCATCCAAGAAGCACACTGTCCAGGACAAGTGGGCACCCCCTGGACAGCCAGGCCTCCGGCCTCACCTGTGACACACAGAGGCGTCGGGCGCTCTGCGGACTCACGAAGGCTGAGATACGGGCAGCGGCTGGCAGGCCATGGGCCGTCCACCCTGAGGGAGGTGCTCCGGGAGCACCCGGCGCCCACGCCACACGGAGCTGTGACCCCAGCACTCTGAGGGGGGCCAAGCACGCTGCTGCCTCCCGCCCCGTCCAGCTCCATAAACCAGGAGCCTCCCGCAGGCCGAGCGTGAGGCGGTGCCCCCAGCGGCGGCCCCTCGCTCAGGTCTAGCTCTGCAGGCGCAGGACGGGGTCCCCAGGGGGTGCTGCAGACCTTGGGCTGCCCCGCCCGGGAGGCCCGGCTCCCGCCTGGGTGGCTGCCCCGCCCGCCTTGCATGGCTTCTGTGGAGGCCAAGTGCCCTAAAAGGCCCGAGTGCAGCACCTCAGCCGCAAGCCCCAGGACACAGCACGGCCTGGGGATGGAGGCGGGTCTTGCACCTGCATGGATGGGCCAAGCTCATGGGTACGGGTGCCTGCGGCGGACGGTTCAGACCAGCCCACAGCCCGATGACCCCACGCCCCGGGATGGCCACTGGGCGGCGCGGCTGGACGGCCCACTTACCTGCCTGCCCTTCACCACGTGCGTGGGCACAGGCACCTTGAGCTCCAGGTCGGTGTAGTCCTGGGACCAGGTGTAGTTCTCGCGCACGGCCCCGTTGTAGCTGTCGGGGTTCCTCTGGAACTGCTCCTGCCTCCTGAGAAAGAGCCGGGAGTCAGACGACGGCCCCAGCGTGCAGCCCCGCGCTGGGCACGGGCGCTGCTAGCCTGGCGTTTCTTCTTAAAGACTCGGCGTCAGATGCCACCGCGGCACCAGGCAGCTCGGCTTAGCGCCGGCCGCGGTCCACCCAGTGCAAGGCCGCCACGCCCACTAGCAGGGGCAGGCCCAGCCTCCAGAGCCATCCTGGCCCCAGAGTGGGGACACCATTCGCGACGAGGAGGGTCCCGGCCAAAGGCGGGGCAGCACGAGTACCAGAAAGGGCCGTGTGCCCAGTGGACGGAAACACAGGTCTGTACAGGCCCCTGAAGCCACGGAACAACACCCCCAGGCTGCCCGGGATGAGCAGGCGCCACTCAACGCGACGCCGATAAAGACGACGGTGGTGTGGGAACCAGAGCTTCCAGAAAACCACCTTCCTGCACCACCTGGAGAAGCCGAATGAGGACGAGAAAAGCAGCCCCAGCCACACGGAGCAGGAGTCTGGGCAGACGCCCGCAGGGCGCAGGGAGGGAGGATCGGGAAGACGCCACCCGAGGGGCCTCAGCCCAGCCCAGCCCAGGCCGGTGTGACTGCGCGGGTCAGGAGGGCAGAGTCCCTGCTCCCCAAAACCGTGGACATGCCTCCAGCCAAGTGCACAGTCTGGGAAATTCAGTACATGAGGTTCCAAGTCTCTTTACAAGTGAACGGCGTGGAATTAAAAGGAGAGAAATTATTGTAAAAAAAGGGCCTGAGATGACGCAGCCCAGGCGCCACGTCTGCACCTGCTGGAGGCCAGCGCGGAGCGTGGCTGCAGGAAGACCATCAGGAAGCCCTGGCCGGGCGCGCAGGCGGCGGGGGCCGTGACTCCGCACGCTGTGGAGGTCACAGTACGCGGGAGGACGGGCGGAATGCCCCGAGTTCTGGGGCTTGTCCTGCTGGAAACAAAGCCTGGCGCAAGAAGAGCGCCAAGAACCAGGAGACGCGAGGAGACGCAGGAAGCTCTGCTAACTCCGCAATCCGACTGCGTCCTGGCCCCCGTGGAGGGGGCCCGGCAGGGCCAGGTACTCAGCCAGGCCCCGCCCTGGGAGACAGCGGCTGGTCCCCAAGGACGCCCAGCCACCCGCGCGCCTGGCCGCGTGGCAGGCTGTGCCCAGCACCGCAGGCCCCTCCAAGTCTGCCAACGAGGCGCCCCCGGGCGACGCCATGGACGGCTCCGTCGCTGTCCCCTGGGCGTCCCTGTCACCACCAGGGCGGTGCTTCCCCGACATCCCCGCCGGTCAGCGCCGCGGCCGGCCGTCCCGCGGGTTCGAGCCGGCAAACGCCCCTCCTGGACTGCAGGGCGCCCCCATGCTCCCTCCAGGGCGCTGGACCGTCCCTGCGACCGGCGCCCCGTCCTCACGGCTCTGCCCGCCCGAGGTCTGAGGGAGCTGCCGTCTGTGCCCAGAGCAGCGCCTCCTGATCCTGCCGCCTCCCCTCCGCGGCGGGGTCACTGCACCCTTGGCGGGCGGTCACCCTGAGTCCGGTGCCGTCTCTCCTCTCTCCCTTCCGTTGTACAGGGAGCTTGTCTCAACCCAGAGGGAGGCCCAAGGGAGGCCCGGCCGCGTGCGCAGGTGCGGCCCCCACGCGGCCCGGCCCAGCCCCGCCCGCCCGGAGGCTGTGCGCCGTCAGGAAGGCCCCGGTAAGAAAAGGTGCTGAAGCAGGTGCACTGTGGAAACTTCCTCTTAGCGTTTTAATGTTAATCGTGCAGCACAGTTAAAAACCCTAGACGACCCTACACCTAAAATAAACAAGGCAAGGCCCTCGAGTCTCCTGACAGGCCTGAGGGACTGACCCGTAGGTGCAGCTGCCGGACACGCTGGACGCTGACCGTCCGGTCACGTGACCAGCCAACACAAACACCCCCCCCATATTTACTATAAGCTCGTCTAATTAACTAAAAATGGGCCGTTGCTACAAGGAGACTTTTTTAAAAATCTTGTTGACTACTTTAACAAGGGAAAGAGGCATTTCATTGTTCCAGGAATATGTAAATATGAAACACATACTTTGAAACAAAAAGTAGGTCACCTGCTCTGTAAATAAGCCCGCTGAGGAACGCGGAATTCTTGGTCTTTAACGGAGTTTTCTACTCCTGGTCGTCCAAAACCAGAAAACTATGTCAATCCCCAAAAGGCTTCGGAACGGAGCGACAGGGAGCCCGGCAGAACCGCGCCCCCACCTCCAGGGCAAACAGGCGGGGGCCGGCGCACGGCCCAGGCGCACGGCCCGGACACAGGCCGGACACAGGCCGGACACAGGCCGGACGGCCCTGTCGAGACGACACAGACGCCACGGCCCGGCCCTCGTCCTGCCCGCCGGCCGGCAGCTGCCCCGGGGCGACCCAGCCCAGCAGACGCCTGGCCCCCGAGGGAACCTCCACGTCACGGCCGCCTGGCCCGGGCAGGACCCCGCCCACTGACACGCGAACCCCCCTTCCGTCAACCTTCTGACGCGTAAGTTCCGGCCTGACGCCCCGAGAGGCTGCGGGCCCTGGGCGACGCCGCCCTCATGGGGTGAGCGACGCGCCGCCGGCGTGAGAGCAGGTCCTGCGCTCGATTCTGGGGGGGCGCATGCACAAGGCGGGTGGGAGGGGGCCCCAAAGCCCCCGTCTGTGTTTCTGCCGCTGACATCAAACACCAAAACATCCTCGATAATTTATGTTCGAGTCCCGCTGCAGGTCGTGACCAGAGTTTGACGAATAAACTTCCACCTCCGAGCAGACAGATCAGTGAAAAAGGGCCAAAGTGGGAAACGGGGGGAGGGAGGCAGCCTGGGAGACCGCGGAAGGGGTGGCGGCCTCCCCGGCCCCGGCGGGGAAGGTGCTGGGGCGGCCGGGCTCCGTCCCCGCCGCAGACGGTCCTTGGGGGGCGCCCTGAACGCAAAACAGGGGCAGCGGGTCCCACAGGAGCAGGCGTCTGTCCGCAGGGACGCACCGGCGCAGTCCGCGCGTGGAAGGGAGCAGCGCAGTCCCACGCCCAGGGGACAGCAGCAGCACCGCGGCGGGAACTGTTCCCACACGGGCCGCCACCCGCGGAAACGAAATGTTTACAGCGCCTCCAAGCACCTCCGCACGAGATACCTAGCAGTTTCCAAAGGAGAAACAGTGACTGTTCGTCCGCAGGAAAGCGACCCCAAACTGCATGACGGGCCGTCTGCCAAGGAAGAGGTCGCGCGGGTCACGAGTGCCCAGGCCGCGGAGGCGACGGCCGAGGTCCCGCTGGCCCGGGGGGAAGGGCCCCGGCGGCGGCGGCCCCCGGCCACACGCCGGCCACAGAAGACAGGCCCCTGCCGCTGCGCGTCCACCCACGCGGCGGGAAAAGCTGTGTGAAGCACGGAAGCGCCACGGCGGGAAACACGGGCCCGCGGCCCCCAGGGAGCGCCCGGCACCGGCCGGCACCCGCCGCCCGACTCACCGTGTCGAGGACACGAGAGAACTGGAGGGCGAGCTGCGAGCGCCGGAGCCTGCGTGCGGGTTCACACGCACCTCCGTCGCCGTTGCTCCGTCACGACGTCACGAGGACCCCGGACGCCGAAGCGCCGACGGCAGGGGCGTGGCGGGCGGCAGGGACGGCGCACGCGCCGTCCTACCCAGAACCCCCTCCGCCGGCCCGTGCGGCCTCCCACGGGGCAGCGAGCGGTTCTTCTGCGCGACGGAAAGGCGTCCCCGGGAAGCCGGTTGCTCGGCGTCGCGCGGTCTCTCTGACGGCTCTGGAACCACCACCCTCGTCCCGGCGCCCGAGCGCCATCCCTCCTCGGGCAGCGACCCATTCGGGGCTACTTTTTCCTTTCACGTTCCTTTCCGAGAGGGTCCGGTGCCTGATTCACAGAGGCGAAGCCAGAGGCGGCGCATCCTTTCCCGATTCCTGCCGCATCCCAGCGCCGGCGGCAGCGCCACCTGCTGGCCCAGGGCTGCACTGCAGCGCCGGCCCGGCCGCCGTGGGGGCCTCTCCGGGAGCTGCCGACTTGGGGACTGGGGACCAGGTCCTTCTTCCTGTGGGTTCTGTCCCTCTCACCTTCTGCCTTCTGAGCGCAGGTCATGGGTCAGCGCCGCGTGACATCAGGACTTGGGCATCACGCGTCACACCATCCTCGCGCGGAGAGCTCACAGCCGGGCGGGGGCCCTTCCTGAGACACCCCCTCGTGTGCCCAGGGGCCTGTCTGGCCATCGCCCAGACTCTGCTCCAAGGAACAAAACGCCACTTTTCAAGCCCTGGGCTGGCGGCGGGGGGCGGGGTCCCCCACGCGTAATTGAAATTACAATGTCCCTCAAACATCTCTTAAATCACCCCCAAAATGCTTACGTATGTGGTTTATATGGAAAAATCTTTGCAATATTGTAAGTGAAAGTGTAGTCTGCAGCCCCAGCCGGGTGGTCGGAGCGCCGTCCGCCCCCAACGGTGGCAGGATGGACCCCAATGGGGTGCAGGCAGGAGGCAACGGGTCAATGTTTCTCTTTCTCTCCCCACCCCTGCTTCCTCTCTCTAAAATCATTTTTTTAAAAATTCCTGGGGGAAGGTTTTTTTAAAAAGTACAACGCAAAACCATTAGGGCAGACAACTGACCCGCGTCTGCAGCTTCCCTCCCGCTGACGCACGTACAGGACCCACGGATGGGTGCCCAGCATTCCAACCAGGGCGACTTGCTGTGTCAGCCGCACTTAATGCGACCAAAAATGACTGTGCTGTACACATGAACAGCTGGTAATAAAAACACAAGGGGGGCCCCCAAAACGGAATTTATTTATAAACAATTGCGTATTGATTCTTACACCTTTAAAACAGTCACCTTCAAAGCCCTCTCCGCTGGATGCAATACCCCTATTGAGACTTTTGTCCACGGCCCAACAGCTTTGAGCTCCTCAATTGTGACGCCTGTTAGACTTCTGCTGAGTTTTGTTTCACTTCTTCTACATCGTTTCCCTTTGAGGTCTTTTTTCATCCAGAAAACACAAAAAAATTGCTCCGGGTGAGACTGGGGGATGGGCAGGGTGGAGCTGGGACCACACTACTTTTGGTCAGAAACTGCTGAGCACTCAGCGCGGTGTCAGCAGGTGCACGCGTGAGCCCCCGCCGTGAAACGAGTCTTCAGAACAGAGTCACCGAAGCTGAACACAGCCGCTCACACCACCAGCTGGCCGCTGACACAGATGGGCTCCCGGAGCACCTACCCCGCCGGGGACGCCTGGACTACAAGGGGCCTGCCCTCCAGAAGATAATTCCAGGGCTTTTGGGGTTGCACCTCGCACAGACATGAAATACAGACACACACGTTTCCGTGTTTCACTGCACTTTTCTCCAGTGCTTCTGCTGCATTTGCTTGAATTAAGTGAGCCCGCGTGTGACTCGGCTGCAGAGCAAGAAGCGGGAGCGTCTGCCGTTGCCACTGCCGGGCCCAGGCGGAGCCCCCCGCAGCGGAGCGGTGGACAGGGGCCATCAGAGTCACCTCTCACACCTGGATTCTCAGCAACCGGCTCTGGGCCGGGCGCCAGGAACAGAACCCCAGACCACAGCTCCCAGGGCCAGAGCTATGGGACCTGAAGGCTGTCACAGGCCACGTTCACATCTGCCGCCACACCACACTCTGGCTGGGACTCGGAGGCCAGGGCCACCGCCTCCCGCTTTGTTCATGGAAAATCAGGAACTTCCCCGAAGCTGAGCGGCCCATTTGGAGCGCTGGTCCCACGGCGCCGCAGGAGTTTTCCAGGGGCACGTGGAGCTGGCCTCGCAGCAGACAGGGAACTTGCAAGTTCTCTGGCCCCAACACAGCGCACAGCCGATGGCTCACGGACAGAGGAGGGCCCCTGCAAGGCAACACGGCAGCTGCTCCCCGGTCACTCAGGACCAAAAACAAGTCCCCTCTTCGGGTAACGTTTTTAGAAATTATAAAAATAATGCAAAGAATAGTAAAACCAAATGTACGCTCCTTGCAAAAAAAGTTAGAAACTATAACATCAACAAAGATGACAATGAAAATACTGAATTCCACCAGGAACTGTTTCCTTCCAGGTTTTTTCTCTACAATTTTAAATGTTTTTCAGGTTTGGTATTCGTTTGATGGCTGCCTTTCTCATGTCACGCTGCATCATGAGAACACCTTCAACCCAAGAAACAGAACCAGGAGCGTGGGCTTGCGTGACCGGGGGCAGCCAGGCCTGTCTGAAGCCCACAGGGCAGGCTGCTGCCGGACAGGACGGGCTATCCCGCACCTCAGGGGAGCCCCCAGCGCTGCACCTGACACCTTCCAAGTGACTGACTGGCTGCCGGGGACAGTCTCCCTCCCTCCGAGCCAAAGCCCGCCGCCCCCGGATTAGTGCTTCGCTGAAGGACAGGCGTGGCCCGGGCTGGCCGCCACGTACGGCTGACCGTCACGGCCCCCACGTCGGTGCTCTCAGAAAACACCTTGTAAGTGGCCCTGGCCGGGGGACTCGGCGGGTCGGAGCGTTGTCCCCATACACCCAGGCTGTGGGTTAGGTCCCTGGTCAGGGCACAGGCAAGAAGCAAGCAATGGGCGCATCAATAAGTGGGACCACAAATCCATGATTCTCTCTCACTTTCTCTCTCTCTCCCCCTAAAGATCAGTAAGTGAAAATATAAATAAAACGTTGCGCAAATATATTTAACTGTTTCCTTAATGAGAATTGAACATTCTTTCAAATTGTTGCTGATACACATAACGCTGGAATAAATGAAACGGGGTCGAGTCAGTGCACATCCAACCTTCCTTCTCGTGTGTATTTCAGGGAAAGGCTCCTGGGAAAAGGGAGACACGGCGCCACACACAGTCCCCGGGGCCTCCGAGGGCAGCCCCATCCGCTTCCCACCCGCTGCCGGACTGCAGGGACCGCGCTGAGCAGCTGAGGCTTCGGGCGCCGCCGAGGCCACGCCTCAGGGGCAGGGGCACCAGCGCAGAAGAGAAGGGGCTCCAGACACGCCCCGACCGGGGCTGGTAACGCCTGCACAAACAAAACTCAACTGTCCCTGAAGGAAACGCTTAAAATCCAGACACGACCAGATGGTCACAATGTCTTGCGTCCCATGTGAAGTTACCAGGTGTGACAAGGCAGGAAAACATGACCCAAAATCAGGAGACACGTCAGCCACCGCAAACCAACCAGGACAGGGCAGAGCTGACAGAGACGTGACACAGCTGTGAGACACAGGAACGATGCAGAGGGAGCCCGAGGGTGGACGTTGACGCCCCAGGAGCCCAGGGGAGCACCCCTGCAGGAAGCTGTGCCGATGCGTCAGGTGACGCCAGGCACCACAGCAGGTAGGAACGCATCTGAGACAGGCCCCGAGGGGGAGACGGGGGAAAAGCCTGAAATTCCGAGGCTCGGCGCCCCCCCAGCAGCACGCGCACAGGAACCACCCCGGGGGAACCTGATCGTGGCCGGGGCGGGGGCGCGGCCGCAAACACGAGGAGCTCAGTCAATGCCAGGCGGCTGCTGCCACCACGTGACAGCCACTCCCACGCCACCCCCCCACCCCCGTGCCCAGCAAGAAAAGAGGAGGCCTCACTTGGGAGGAGCTGGGGGTTCCCTCGGGGCCTGGGCAGCTCCTGTGTCGGAGCCCGGCGGCTCTGAGTCCTCCTGGGGGGCCAGGGCCACCTCCTGCGCGGTGCCCGGCTGGCCTGGGGGCTCCGCAGGCCCGTCTGCGGCTGCGGCTGCGGCCGCGGCCACGGCCGTGGGGGCGTTGACCTCCACCTCCTGCACTGGCGCAGGGACAGGCTCCTGCTCTTCTGCCGCCGCCGCCTCCTCTTTTCTCCTCACTTTCTCCTCCAGCTCCTTCCTCCTCTTCTCATCATCCTGGCGAGCCATGCGGTCGAAGGTCTGGAACACCTAAAACCAAAGAGCGATCCAGCAGTGAGCGCAGAAAGGAAGCAGCGGCCACAGGAGAGACCGCGCGGCCGCCCCCAGACTCTGTGTCCCATGGCAGACGGCAGCGCCCCGGGCTTGGCCAAGCTGCCACGGCAGCCCCGGGACGGGGGAGCCCCCAGCTCCGCAGGAGCGCGGCCTGACCAGCCAAGGCCCCCACGGCCCGGCGCCCGGCCTCAGGGGGCACCGTGCCCAGGCTCGCCGGCCTCCGTCCTCCCGTCCGGTCTACAGCCACATGGGCAGCGCAGTCCCGGCCGAGCGAGCCGAGGGCACCGCGGCGGAAGGGAGGCGGAGCTGAGCTGACCTTCACTCCTTCACTGCCCGGAGCAGCAGCGGTGGGCAGACCCCGGCCCCGCCTGCCACTGCGGGAACCCAAGCACCGCTGATGGCGTCCCCTCCCCCGGGGGGCAACAGTCACCTCCGCCAGGACCAGCCCACCTGAGACACCGCGCCCCGGGCGGGGGGCGGGGGGCAACGAGCGCTTCTGGTGAGAGCCGGCGGAAGATGGGCCCTGGAAGGCGCGGACCTGAGTCAGACTTTCCCGGACGGCACATCTTCCGCAAGAGCCCCATTTCCGGGGGTGGGGTCCTGGGAAGCAGAACGGCTGGGACGCCCACCCAGGAGCACGGGGCGAGGCGGGGGCGGGGGAGCCAGCAGCCATGCTCCCCGCCCTACCCCCCACCCTGGGGAGAAAGCTCACGCCCACGCGGGTGCCTCCGCAGGGAGGTTTGCAGCCACTCTGTGCGTCTGTCAACACGAGGGCCAACCAGAGGTCCGCCGGGGGTGGTGGGTAAAAAAAGCTGCGGTTCGTCCAGACAGCGGGAGAGTTATTGTTCAACACTAGGAAGAAATGAGCGATCTGCTACGAAAAGACGCGCAGGGCCCTTTGCTCGCGGGGGGGTGATGATAATGGGGTCAGCTGGGCAGGTGGGGGCAGGGGGCTAAGTGGGAGGTCCCTGTACCTCCCCTCGGTTTTGCTGTGAACCTGAAACTGCTCTAAAAAATCGTCTTCGTGAAATAAATAAATATAAGCAGGTAGGAGTCGGTCTCCCAGGGTTACAAGGCACAGGTGCTAAATAGGCGCATCCTGGGCTCTGAGCAGGAGGCAGAACGGAAGGAGCCGACGCGCTGAACAGCACCAAATGTTGCTGCCCCGCACTCTCCAAACCCCGGGAGGCGCCCACGGCGGGGGAGGGGGGGCGGGGGGGGCGGGCAGCAGGGACGTTTCAAGGAGAAGAGTCGCCTCCAAGGGGAGTACCTTGCCCGAGGTCCTACCAGGGAAAGAAGAAAGCGGAAAGTTACTCAGGCGGCGCCGAACACCGAAAGGTGGAAGCAGAGGAAACGAGGCCCTGAAACCTGGACACAGAACAGGCCCCTTCCGACCTCACACACCCCGACGCCCGCGTCGCGGACCCTGACCCCACCCCAGCCACTCGTCCCCGACACCCCAGACCTTCCTCTGGACGCCACAGAAACAGCACCCGCGGGCGGTCCTGACCCCTCCCCCACCCCAGAGCCACAGGGCTGCGGGGCTGAGGCGCCACCGGTGACCTCCCAGCAGCCTTCTCGCTGACCGAGGGGTGACTTGCCGGGACTGCCTGAGGGGATAGGCGGAGCGGGCTCTCCCGACTCCCCTGGCTGGGCTCCCACGCAGGCTGGTCAAAGGGTCCAGGATCAGCTGAAACGAAGGAAGTGCCACGCTAAACGGGGCTCTTGTTCAAACACACTCATGTCACAGAGAGGCCGAGGCGCCTTTCCCAGGAGGGCCATTCAAGCTGTGCAGACTCAGAATTAGGGGGAGTTACCTCCGCTCCCAACCCACCTAGGAAAGCTTTCGCGCTCCCACCCTCCCATCCAAACCCTCGCTGCCTGTGCCCTGAGGACTCCCGAGCGCCCCACCTTGGCTGCGGCATCCACGGGAAGGGGTCTCCCGCCCCTGAGTCAAGGGCAGGCAGGCAGGGCGGGGTCAGGAGGCCACCTAACGCCCCGGAGAGTGATGCTGTGCAGCACCCACTCACTCGGTCTGACGACGCGCCCTGTGTTACTGAAGTGCAGTTGACATACGCGGCACTGCCACTCGGGGATGCGGCCGCTGTGTGCCTCACGGGGGCGCGTGCCTCGTCACCACGTGAGGTTGGGAAGGGGCCTCATCAGCGACACAAGTCCGGCTTGCCTGCAGCCAGGCCTCTTCCCCTGAAATCAGGGGCAGGCCAGCTAACGCGGCGGCGTTACTCCAGCCCCCCGCCCCCACGAGTCTGAAACCTCAGGTTACCGGATTCACCCGTCCCCTCCCTCTGCCCTGCTGCCCTCTGTCCACGTCGTTAAGTGGGTCACCAGATCATCACCTGGAGGGTGCCTGGAACATAGCAGGTGCCCCATGAACTGATACCAGACAAGTGAGCTGCCCCTCAGTTCAGCTGTGAAACAAGGGCAACAACCAACCCTTCAGAGTGTGTCAGGGGTACGGCGGGCGATGTCCTGCCACAGTAACTAGTACAAGCAGGTAGTCAGTTGCCACGACCTCCTCCCCTTTTCTGCCCCCATCACCCCAGGTAAGAGGGTTCCCACCCTGCCATGAAATGGATACATCAGGGAACAGAAAGACCTGGAGTCACGAAAACAGTGTCGTGGAATCACCTCACCCTGCTGAACTGGCACCCTCACCTGCCACATAAAATTCAGCTGCATCTATGTCACAGGGACATCCGTGCAAGTATTGGGTCGGCCAAAAAGTTCCTTTAGTTTTTGCCGTACGATGGCTCTAAGTAGAGTTTAGTTGTCTTTAACTTCGTTCAAAACAACTTTGTTACATTGTATTGTGACAGCTGTCCTATCAGTGTGCATTTGAAAAAAACTTATCAAAATTGGTGAATTTTTGTGTAGCCATTTTAATATTGAAGATGGAAGAAAATTCACAACATTTTCAGCATATTATGCTTTAATACTTCAAGGAAGGTAGAGATGCAACTGAAACAGAAGACATGTGCAGTGCACGGGGAAGATGCTGGGACTGATCAAACGTGTCAAAAGCGGTTTGAAAAGTTTCCGGCTGGAGATTCCTCACTGGACGATGCTCCACGGTCGAGTGGAGCAGCTGAAGTTCATAGCGATTGAATGAAGACATTAATTGAGGAAAATCAATGTTCACCACGCAGGAGACAGCCGGCATACTCAAAATACCCAAATCAATAAAGTTATTGGTGAAAATGAAAAATGTGTCTTTTATTTCACAGAAAAAACCACACGGACTTTTTGGCCACCCCAATATTAAACTGCCACAAGGGCCTGCTGGGGCCCGTCCCCCGGGGTGGCACCCAGACTGGACGGGACGAGGATCGGGGTAAGTTCTGGTACTGAGACCCGCACTGAGACCCCCGCTCCACCTCCGTGTCACCTAGGACGGCTGAGCCCCGCACGTCTGTTTCTCGTGCGGGCACCAGCTGTAACGTGTGGGGCTGTCCCGGAGCGGGCCTCGCACAGTTCCCTGTTCTAACGTGTTTTCTTATCTTGGCTGTAACAGGTGTCACACGGAGGCCGCGACAAAAACGTCGCTGAGGATGGGAATACCTGCTGCCTTCCAAAGCACCCTGACAGCTTCGCAAATGAGGACGGACAAGCCCTCGGACACAGAACCGACTTAACTTGGGACAGCCAGACAGACGCTCAAACGCACCCTCTCTGACCGAGACGTCACAGCGCGGGCAAGGGGACCACGCCCGTCAGTCGCCCGCCTCCCCGCCACCTCCAGCCCCGCGGCTCGGCGCCGCGCACGTCCGGTACCCAGCCCCGGCCGGCAGCCCCGGCACCGCCGCGGGCGCGGCGCCACTCCTGACACCCAAGCGCAGCCGGCGTCGCCCGGGCTTCCGAGCGCTAGCCCTGCTCCCACGGCGGAGCAACTTGATCCGCCGCCACCAGCGTCTCCGCGCACTCGCGGCGCCAGGAGGCGTCCCGGGAAGCGCCAGGGGGGAACCCGAGGCCGGGGGCGCAGGGAGGGACGGGGGTGGGGGGTGAGACCGCGCGGGTGTGGGCTCGGGGGAAGGGGGCTCCGGGGAAGCGGGGTCCGGCGGCCCGGCGCGCGTCACCTGCAGCACCAGCGCCTGCGCGGCCCCCGGAGGGAAGCCCATGCGGTCGGACGGGTGGCGCAGCAGGCGGTAGAAGTCGGTCTTGCGGTAAAGGAAGCCAAAGAGCACGCGCAGGAAGTCCTGGACGTTGCCCACGTGCTGCAGGATGCCCAGCAGGGCCTGGTCGTACAGCTCGGCTGCCCCGGGCTCCATGGCGTCTCCGACCGGACGGGCGCTCGCTCTCTGCAGGCGCGGCCAGGACGCCGGCCCACGGCCACTTCCGGCGCGCCGCGGTAACGGCTCCGCCGCAGGCGGGCCCGCGAAACTTCGGTCCGCCCGCGCCCGCGGCCCGTCGGCACTCGGGCGGCGTCGCCGCTGGCCCCGCCCCCACCGCCCGCCGGCCTCCCCGGGCGGCCTCACTGAAGAGCGAGAGCACTTGGGCTCCGAAGCGGCGCCTACTCCGCCGAGGGCCCAGGCCTGCGCGACGGAGGACGCCTCGCGGCCATGTTGGAACCGGGCGGAAGAGCGTGGGCGGTGGCGTCGCGCGCCTTGGGGTCGTCGCGCGGTCTGTGCCCCGATCCCCTGCGTGCGCCGGCGGGTCAGAGGGGACAGGTGCGCGCGGGCCCGAGGACGCTGGTGTGTCGTCGCCGCGGAGCGCGTGCCCGCGCGGGGGCGCGCGCACTCGTCTGCTCAGAGCTCCCTGGATAAACAAACTGCGGGTTTCGAGGCTGGATACGCTGGCCGGCGACAGAACGCAGGGGTTGACCCTAAGTGGCCACCGCTGACAGGAGCCAGTCGGAAAAGGCTGCCGTGCATTGTCTCATTCGGAAAGGGCGGACCGTGGAAACGGGGACAGGCCGGTGGTTGCCGGCAGTGGGTGTGAGACAAGGTTTGTTAGGTGGGATCATAGTAAAGTGAGGCAGGGAGCAGGAGGGAGATGGCCTCACCCACGGACTCAGCAGCCCCAGCCAGGTGATGGCCAGGTGGTCGGCAGATCAGGAGAAGCAAACGTGAGAGGCGCTTGCATCGATCCCACTCTCTGGGAAGGCAGCCTTTGAGACTGAGTGTCCATCCTAAAGCCCAGGACGGGGAAGAGAACAGGGCCCAAAGTGCTCAAAGCAAAAAACCCGTATATGCCTTTGGTAAATTGCCTGCCTCTGGTCCCTATCTGCTTTAGGAGGAGCCCCTAGTGCTTACAGAAAGAGCCCATAAATAACTTTGGGTAACTGCCTCAACTTGAATTAGCTGCTTCCTGTCACGTGTCTGTTTTACAAGGTGAGCAAATGTGGTCTGGAGTGAATCAAGGATTCGGGCTAACAGACCCCCCGACGTACCCATCCCTGGGTAGTCACGTCCCCCCACCAGGGGGGAGCTGGCACCGCCTTTACCCGTCAAGCCGTAACTCCCCCCATCCCCCCAACTATCGGAGTCCTCAGGGCAAAGGACCCGAGGCTCTTGCAGCCCTTACTTTGCTGTGCCCTGAACCTGTGCCTCCACCCCCGCCCCCGCCTGCGCAAGGCCTCTCCTCTTCCCGGGGACCGCGCCACTCTCAAACCCTGCCTGCTGAGCTGTAACCCTTCACTGCGCTGGCAGGAAGAACCACACTCCCCTGCCCTGCAACCACAGCACAGGGCCCTGGGCCTGCTCGCGTGATCCTAGTGAGGGACACCTGGCACGGTCATGTCGGAGCCAGAGCAGTTACAGCGCACAGAGAAACTTCCTGGATACATGTTTTTAAAACGTCACTTAAGAGACTGGGGGTCCCAGAGTGGAATGCAGAATGTGACAAAACAATCTACCTGTTTTACAAACGTGGGAAACAGCCTCACCGAAGGGAGATGCCGACCTAGGTGACCTTGGACGTGAGCGAAGTCCTAGCACTACATGGAAAAGGGACTGTGCGCAGACACTTAGTTCCAAGCTGTTCCCCACAGATTCTTCCTGCCCGCAGGAAACGGACATGAGGCGGGCGGCATGCAGGTGGAGCCAGGCCTCCCGGGGCTGGGGGGGTGGTTGCAGGTAAGAAGGGAGGCGGGGCCGGGGGTGACCCCGTGGGGGTCAGAGCGTGTTCAGTGTCCCCGCGGGTGGCTGCATGTGGAAGCATTTACACGCATCGTCGTGCATTCACACGCCCATCCCCGTGCTCTCCCCGCCAAGAGAGCCCAGGAGCAACAACGCCCCGGGAGCAACGTGCACGTCAAGCGCCCGGTGCTGGGCTCCCAATCCCACGTGCGGATGAGGGACCAGGCAGAAATGGCTGCGTCTAGGTCTGGGGACCCTCTTATCGTGCCGGAAAGTAAGGATGTGCTCAGAAAGGGAAAAAAACCTTCACCATGACGGACGGATGACAAAGGGACCCAGGGGCCACCTGAAAGAGCCTCCGAGGGCCTCAGCTGGAATAATTTGACAAATCAATAAGGCAGGATGATATTATAACCCAAAGTACAAAACGACTCTCCAGGGGCCCAGACTGACGTGCGTGTGAACAGGGCTCTCAGCATGCGGGGCTCTGCCTTCCACACGCTGGAGCGCGGCTGCCCGGCCCTCAGTGTGGGCTGTGCACAGGGACCCCCGAAGAGCACAGCCTGGAGAAGGGGGAAGAGTGTTGTGGGGCGGAGACGCCTGGCAGACACAGCCTCGGCCAGGTGGCCGACGCGGTGACGGTGCACACCCTCGTCACAATGGGCTGAGACGCTCACCGCGTCTGTGGCCCAGCACCCGAAGCCCAGCACCCCAGTCCCATTGGGGGAGAAGCCCCGGAGAAACCCCCTGGAGGAGCAGCCTGCAAAACACCCGAGCCGCCCTCCCCATTGTCGGGTCGTCAGAAACGAAGGCCGACAAACCGTCACCCAGGAGACGGGCACCCGAACGCCCCGTGGTGCCCCTGAGCGGGACCCTGGAGCAGGAAGGGGACACAAGGGGAAACTGGGAAGAGTCTGAGCGAGGTCAGGACTCCGTTCGTGGCCGTCACTGCGGGTTCGCTGCCCGCGCACTGGCAATGGCGCCACGCTCGGGTCCCGTGCCGCCAGGGCGGGCCGGGTGCGCGGCGCGGGGGGCCCCGCCCTAGCTTCGCCATTTCTTGTAAACCTAAGACTATTCTAAAAAATGTTGTGATGTATTTCAAAAGTGATCATCATCCGTAATGCTACTGCTCCCCCCAAAAGCGAGAGGAGGCATTGTGTGGGTGTTTAGCGCCCCCCGCTGCTGGCTGCATGCGCCTGCCAGTGGCTCTCCCACACGTGAACAGGACATGCACGAGGTGCGCACATCGCACGGGTCCACGGTTCCGTACCTGAAATCCCAAAGGTGAGCTGGATTCCAGAGGGTGGGACGTGCTTGGGAAGGAAACTCGATCCGTGCGCTGCGTTGGCTGTTAGGCCCCATCGGCCTAACGTCGGGTTTCCAGGTGGCCCCAATAGGGGCGGCAGCCCCAAGCCAAGCTCCTTGGCACCCTGACCCGCGTGCCGTCCCCACCAGCCAAGGGGGAGGAGGCCATGAGAAGCCTGTTTGTGAAGGGTAAGTAAATAGACGCAGCTGTTCCTGTCAGGTTTTGCCACCAAATGGGTTTGTCCCAAACTTACAGGGGAAAAATAAATAAACCAGGTTTCCAGGTTTTGGGGTTTTGGAATCCCAAGTGCGTGCCTGCGGGCCTGCAGGAGAGCGCGGCCTGGGAACCAGATAGAAACCCGTGTGTGTCATGCCGGGACACTGCGTGGCACGTGGGCACGTCTGTTTTGCGTGTCCTCCCATCACACGGGGTCACAGCAGCTCCTCAGCCAAATCCGCCGACTGGGTTTGGACCGAACTGGAGCCCAAGCGCAGCAGAAAGCTCTGGAGGGGCCTGGCGTGCCCAGCTGCTCAACACTCTGACGTGGCCCCGGCGCAGGGCCTTCCCGGGCGCGGCTCCGGGCACGACGGCCCCGCCTCCGCACGGGCACCTGGCCCGCGAGCAGGCTCTCGGGGCGCCCCCCTCCCCAGAGGCTGCCTCCAGAAAGCCAGCCGCCGCGGGCCCTGCGCTGGCCAAGGCCGCGGCTCCGGGCCACCCCGCGAAGGCGGGCCTGCGGAAGGGCACACAGCGGCCTGGCTGCTGCTCGAAAGGGGGCGGGGAACACACACTAGTATCCCCTAAATCACCCTCCCACGCGTGCGTTCTTCGTATCATTTACAAAAATTATGTCCAACCCAGAGGCAGCCAGAACAGGACATGTGACATAAAACCCCACTTCCACCACAGACATTTATTAGGCGCCGCGTGCCGGGCCCTGAGCCTTGGTTCCTGCTCCTTGGCGGAGGCTCCGGTCTGGCCGCTCTGAGGCCGGGCCACGCTCTGGGGGTGGGTCTGGGGGCGCTCACCGCCTGGCCGGCCCCGGAGCGGCCTCGACTGGCGGCAACCACCATCACAGTCGTTGGAGCTGAAGGCCAAACTGAACGGCGTTTCCTAGTGGGGTCCATCCATGACCACAGTGTTTTCCAGAACATGCTGCAACCCCTGCCAGCAGGAAGCCCCTCCAGGCCCCCTGTGGGGTGCGGTCCTGCCCTGTGCCCTCAGGGACATTGAAGAGGGGTGACCTCACGGCCGGTGGGTCTTCCCGCGGCGAAGGCAGGAGGTGGACAGGAAGCAGGCGGCCGCGGGAAGCTCTGAGCCGCACCAACATGTGTCTCTTTCTGGGCCCCGAGCCCCCGGTCCCAGGAAGGGGGAGGCACGCCTGTGCTGGCCGAGGCGCGAATGACGGGAAACCAGGGGCCTGCCACCAAGGCGGAGGGCCCTCGGGCCCCTGGTGGCCAGAAGGAGTCCCAGCCTGGGCACCCCCACAGCATCAGCCTCTCCCAGGCCCTGGGGGGAAGGCGAGTGGGGGCCCCCTTGGGGGCCCTCACGCCTCTGGAGCCTGGACGGGGCTCCGCTCACTGGGGTGGAGGGCCGCCGCTGTCGCCACCCACATCCTCGGCGGGGCGTTGGAAGCCGTGGTTGACGTGGGCGCCGCGGGCCAGGCAGCCCGGGGAGGAGTGCTTGGAGCAGGAGGCTGTCCGGGCGGCAGCCGCCTCCTCTGCCCGCTTCTGCTCCAGCAGCAGAGCGGGGTTGACATCAGGCCCTGCAGAGGGACAGACCCCAGGGAGCGCGGTCACCACCCTGCCCCTCAGGGGGGTGCCCCCGCCCTGCAGCGCCATGGCCCCTCCCAGCGGGCACCCACCCAGGTAGCTGAGGATGACGGGCAGGAAGACCAGGCCGTGCAGCAGGCCCAGCAGGGTGATGAGCAGGTTGAGCCGGAAGAAGAAGATCTGGATGAGCTGGGCCTTGGCCAAGCCCAGGACGAGGATGCCGGGCAGGTTGGTCATGGCCACTCCGGCGAACACCTAGGGGCGGCAGGCGGCTGTCAGGCTGGGCGCCGGGCGGTTGGCGGGGGCATCGCGCAGCCGCCCAGCCACTCACCGCACTGCCCATGGACACGGTGGCCTCCTTG